ACTCAGACAAAGAACATTAGGACAGTTTTTAGGTTTTATATAATTTATCATCTGCAAAGAAAAAAATTATTAGATCACGTGAGAAATTGTATAAAACACTAAATCAAAGCACCTTGCCTGTCGTTTTCAATGAAATGTGCATGAAAGAAGGATTGCTGCCTAAATAAACACACACACACACACACACACACATATATATATATATATATATATATATATATATATATATATATATATATATATATATATTGTTATGGTGTGGAACCATAGAAAGGTAACACGGATTCGGATATAAGTTTAAATAGTATATTCTCAGAAACGTAGTACAATGGTAAATGTGGACTGGAGAGTACTTTCTCTCACTGGTGTCTTGACACACCCATTCACTGACTCTATGCCTACTACTCGGTGACCCTCACTTGGTGACTCTCACTTGGTGACTCCCTTTACTCAGAATTGGTAGCCATATTATATAGGTGTGGAAGAGTCCATTTGCAGGTATCGACCATCATAAAGACTGAAAAATAAAATTGAAAAAGATTATTGTTTAAGGTTGACGGACACGCATGTCCTTATTAGTTTTTTTGTTTTTTTACGAATTGGTCAAACCCAAACTCAAACAAGAACATTGTTTTCAATCGTTATGAGTCTACCGATTGAATAGAATTTTATTATAAACAATTGTCTTGTAAATGGAATTTTTAAAGAATTCTGAATGTAAAAATAAAGAAAAAAGTGTGCAAGACAATAAGAAACACTACCTGCCAAAAAAATAAGTGAAGGTTTGTTGAAATCGGTTAAAGAATGTAGGAAATCCGATCCCATATATAAACGAACACACACACACACGCACACACACACGCGCGCGCGCGCAACCTTGGTTTTATAATAAGTATAACTCGATATGAGTTGTTCCCTTTTCATTCTGTCGACAGAATTGTGTTTTATCGTGTTTTCAAATTGATTTCGTTCAAAAACCATTGTTTTTCCAATTTTTGGCGCTGTCAGAACCACTGCAAGGTAATTTTACGTAGTCCTGTGAAGTTTTGTTGAAATCTGTTGAAAAATGTAGGAAATCCGATCCAATATATAAACGTACAGACACACACACACAGACACACACACACACACACAATCTGCGTTTTTATAATAAGATATATATATATATATATATATATATATATATATATATATATATATATATATATATATATATATATATTTAGGCTGCAAATTCTCTTTTAGGCATTTCTGATTAAATAGAATATAGTACTTTTCCAAAGGACACAAATTATATCAAACTACTATACTGTAACAAGATGCATGCTAACTACAAAGAGTAGGAAAAATCATAAAGAATCTTATTCAGGCTAACATATAAAAAATACAATAAAACCAGTTTAATTATTCGCAATAACTCCTCCTCACTAACTGGTGTATTACGTAAAACCAACATTATTTATATAAATACTTGTACTAATTGAAAATATATAGTTTTGTACTACTTGCATCACTGAAGATGATCTTGGAAGAAGATCGAAAGTACTTGGGAAGTTAAAATAAAAGAAATTTAAACTGCTGTATCACATTTCACTCATCATTTAACATCCATACACAGAAGGGTATTCGTGAATATTAAAGGATTTTGTTACAAATTAGCAGACATAATATCGGCAAATTATTTAATCAGACACCCCCCAGACACACACAAACACACACACACACACACACACATACACACATATATATATATATAATTTATATATATATATATATATATATATATATATATATATATATATGATAAAACAAAAAGAACTTTATAATTAATTTTATTAAGGGTTTATTTCAATTTTTGATAGAGATAGCTTCAAGAATGTTTAATTTATATTAACTGTTTCACAGAAATTTTAATTTTCAGATAAACACAACAAATTAGTCTTAGTTAAAACAAGACCTAATAAAACAAAAGCCTGAAGATGATATTTTTCTAATATCGAAAGTACTCGGAGTAAATGAATATGCATGAATATGATAAATTTCTTTCTTCCTTTAATAAGGATACTAAGAAACTTGCTCATGAATATGATAGGATGGGATTAAAAATAAGTAGACAAAACTTGTTTGAATTATTTAATGGGACATGTCTTAATGAAAACATGCTGCCAAAATATAAGCAATATATATATATATATATATATATATATATATATATATAGATAGATAGATAGATAGATAGATAGATAGATAGATAGATATGTATGCTAAATCGTTATTTTCAACGTCATTCAGTAGCCACATATAATTTGGTGGCCATCCTCTGCTGTTATGCGTGATGTGCGACCGTTTTATATATTTGTGTCACTGTGTGGTCTTATAGATGATTGAGGGTATGCCACTGCTCATAAAAGAGACGGAAAATTATGCATAAAATATTACTTTTCCTTATCGGAAATGAATTAGGGCAGGTTTCCTTCAAATGTCTGAGAGTGTATTGCTC